ATTGGATAAGTTAGACCAGTGTTCCCCAATCCCCGGTCCACGGACCGGTACCGGACCGTGGATCAAATGGTACCGGGCCGCACATTTCATTGAAACTGAATTTAAATTCCTAGGTTTGTACCAAAAATTAAAAGTATCTGTGTTCCATTATTTTATTTATTTAAAAAAAAAGGGCTCCCGAAGGTAGTGACATAAATTTTTTAACGTTTTAAAGCGATTACTCCCAGATGAAACCATCTCATTGCAAAGAAACAAGCTCAAGGTTCCCATTAATTTATTGTTCTAGTAAATTAAAATGTAAAATCACTTCATATTTATTTTTTGGTGCAACTGTATTTTATTTTGAAGGCATGTTTAAATACAATTAAATTAAAATTAATAAATCAAAATAATCTGAAATATAAACAATCAACGTCCCCACCCCCTCCTACGGCCGCGGTAAAATTATCAAACGTTGACAGGTCCGCAGTGATAAAAAGGTTGGGGAACACTGAGTAAGACGATATATATTATATAAATATAGAATATTATATCAATCATTATATTAGTATATTATAAAAATTAGACCAAATTAATAGACGCACTGTAGTGTTTTAATAATGACATGTGTTGCACGAGGTTATATGCAATACTTTTATGTTTAAACATACATGTAATGGGTTTTTATGTAAGAGACTTCTTATATACTTCCCATTTGTATTCATTTTTAACGTATCGCATTACAATGTTAACCCATTGATATACGAATGTAAACAAGTGCAAACCGGTTTCAGTCGCGCAAAAACAATACAGCTGTATAGAGTATCACCTGATAATTAAGATTTTACATAGAATCTTAGAGTGCGTGTATTAATTTGACCAGGGAATGTACTAACTAATTTTCTGGTAATTGAAATCTCACGTACTTTTTTGCAGTATGAATAGTTCGAGTTAATCAATTCTAATTAATTTATGCTAACGATGTCTAATGCAACAAAAACATGCTTTCTCTGAATAAGCATTTTTTTTCAGCAGATTTTTTTCCGCAAGGGAAGGAGGATAGCAGTAATACGAAAAAAAAGGGATCTCAATGGACGAATCGAAAGAAAAGCTGTAAAGAATTAAGGCCGATTAACACCTTGCCAGTATCGCCCGAATCCAGTTCAGGCAACTACTACGTGCAGTATCTGTGATGCCCGAACTGATTTCGGACAAGAGAAAAATTAACGTTTCTATTTTGTGAAGCCCGAGCTGAGTTCGTTTCGACTTAAGTATACTTAATTCGCTATTTTCCTAATAGATGGCATAAGTGATCCTAGTTTTTTACTGATTAGGACTTCACTGATTAGGAGGGAAATGTGGGTGGGGGTCTTGGGATATACCATACTGTAAAAGATTTGTAAAATTTATGTATTGAGGATCATATTGTTGTGTTTTTATATTATATTGTACTAGTTATAGTATATTTAGCTTTGATGTTTTGTTTCATTTGCTCCAACTGAATATGTGTGTGTGTGAAATCCATTACTATTTTATGCGTATGTAAAAATTACAACTACAGTAGTTATTGCATTTGAAATTTAATTTTTGTCTTAAAAAAGCCATTTTCTAACTTTTATAATAGTATAAAGAACAAAATTAAACAGTTAAAAAAAAAATTTTCATTTTTGTCCATTTTTCTGAAATATATGTCACTGTTTGGGCGTTAATTTCTTTTTATGAGTATTTCGTTCTGGAACTATTAGCCCGTAAGGCCGCCATAAAAGCGGTGTGGCACTGTCACTTATTGAGTCAGTATTAGGGCTGTATCGTTGTCAGATTTCGAAGGAATTTAATGACTAGGGGAGAGTGGGGTCAATTGTAACAGGGTACGATTGTAACAGAGCAAAAATTTCGAGTGTCGGGTTCTAGATTTGGTTCCTAGGTGGCGCACAAGGTGTATTTAATAAATCTACATGTACACCCCTGCTGGCAACCATTTTTATGTACTTTTGAAAGAGTTACATCACAAAAGATATTTTCACGCTACGTAAGTACTTTTTTTGGTATTAGAATATTATATTGTAACAAAGTAATTTTGTTTAAACAAATAAAAATTATTAACCGAATATGTAAGTGGACACCTTAATTAACATTTAAAAAAAAAAAGATTAGTTTTGTTAATTAACTAGCATTGTTTTTAACAAATGAAGCTGAAATGGCGTCTTGGGGACGATTGTAACAATAAGTAAAGGGACGATTGTAACAGCTGAAAATAAATAATCTTATGTTTACAAACCATTACTTAACTCTTTAAGAACCACCAATAGTTTCCTATATCATTTATATTATGTTGCATGTGCATTATTTTATTTGTCACCTTTCACAGCATAAATTAAAATTTTTAACCCCTTAAAGTTAAAAGTTTAACCCTTTAGGTCTCTGCTCATTATTATTTTTACTCCTAAAATATCACTACTATTTTGATCAATAAAAAAATATATCACAACTATGATAATATGTATAATTAACTATGTTTTAGTTGAATTTATGAACTGTTACAATTGACCCCGTAAGTGGGGACAATTGTAACAAGTGCACGACTGTCGAAAATTGTTAATAACTAATATAATAACACTTAAAATAAGGTATTTATTTATTTTTTCTAGTAGAGGATAGTCTACTTTTCTCGTCTGTCAATTAATACTAATAATATATAGGATTTTTTGTTAGTTAAAAATAGTTAAGTAAAAAATGTTACAATTGACCCCACTCTCCCCTACAATTAATTGTCAGCGTAATTAATTATTCTAATTATATCAATTGAGAAGTGAACAGGAAAATTTTCCGAACCCTTAAGTGTTAAAATGAATCGAAAGTGCTTATACTAACAAAGAAAATAACCGATGTGAAACTGATCAATTAATCTGCTAAATCTTATTTTTATGCTTTGATATCATGCATAAAATTTGTGGTGTTTATTTCAAAGTGATTATCCATGTATATGTTACCGGCAAAGTTTGAAATCTGGCATTCAATAGAATGCCTAAAACTAGCCGGCAATGTAGGAAGCAATTTATATATCGCACATTTCCTATACATTCTATAGAATGCCAAATGAGAAATCGGCAAAGTATAAAGTACATCCCCGATTCGTTTCGTATTGTAATGAAATGTAATTCAAAATTTCATTCAAGCCTGCCATGTTGCAACAAGTGGGATAATTTCTTATTTTTTACATAAAAAAATTTGATTCCCTTAATAAGAAAGGCATAAATTATGTTTGGTTAAAACTTTCCTTTTTCTTTACACATTTTGAAGAATTTTTTTTCAATGGCACTCTCATTATTTTTTCCGAATAACATTTTCATTTTTGAGAATTCCACACATTATTTACAAAATAACCTCATCAGGACGTTTTTTTTTATACTTCGCCTAAATGGCATTTGTCATTCTATAGAATGCCCAGGAAAGTATGTAATACTTCTCATATTTCATACCTTGCCTAAAAACATCCGTCATTTTCTACAATGCCTAGTCACTATATACAATGCCTAGGCTTTCTATAGAATGCCGGAATTTTATACTTTGCCGGTAACATATATATTTATCTCATGTAGCACAGTTGTAGAAGTTGTAGTTGTTTTGGAACAATTTATTGAACCACCGATAGATGGCGGAGTTTATCATTAGATTGTTACCGTAACTGCAAACTAAGATTTTGTAAAAAAGCAAGAACATCTACATTGTAATGTAGTAGTAGTTATGTCTACCATTGTACCGTATTAATCATGTTAACTATTTAAATATATTTTTGTTACTTACCCCTTGGTAATTATTGAGTAGTTTTCCTGTGCCATCAAGAAAACGAGAAAAGGATATATTCACTAATAATAGTAATAAATCTTCGGTGTATTTACCCTATTAGAATTGCTTTAAGTTGAAAAGCGAAAACAGTAAACTGGGGTATTTATTGATCTATTTGCAACACTATAGTTATTTTTTCAGTTTGTAAGGTTGTCTTAAGCAATAATTTAAATAGTGTCGAATAGTTAGTTATATGTTAAGCACTTATTCAAAATAATTTTGCATTTTTATAGAAATAAAAATCTAGTTACGAAGTAAATATTTAGATTAATTTTCAATTCTTTCAGAAAAGGCTGTAGAAATATATATATATATATATTATAA